TCAGGATTAGGGTTACGTTGAACTCAGTCAGATTTCATACCAAGGGCTCCTCTCCCGGATAGCCTACCATCGGTCCCAACGCCAGCCACGACACGAAATTGTTCACCAGACACAGCTGTGCGCGACTTATGACCGAAACCCAAATCGTTTTGGCTGTCATGTTTCTAGCTTGGGTAGTGAAGTCTTCCAAGTCGACCAATCCCATCAGGAAGTTGGTTGCTGCGAGAAATGCACGTCCGACGAGGGTTCTGGACAGAGTAGTATTCAAAGCTTCGTCTTGTCTGATGGCTGCTTCGTCTTCGGAAAGAGGTACAGGTTGTTCTTTCTTGATCGATGGAGATATCGAAGAACTACTGGTTGCGCCTTTTCTTGCAGACTTCTTCGTTACTTTTTTCTTCGATGGTCCCTTCTTTTTCCCCTTATTGTTTCCAGAACTCTCGTTCTCCTCCAAAACCTTTGGTGCCACAACATCTTGTTGTGGAATCTTCAAACTTCGAAAACTCTCTTCGTCAGGAAAAAGTCGCTGCAAATAGCTGCTTATCGGAGGCAGCTTCACAACATCACTTGCGTAACCGTAGACTTTCTCCTCGTGTGGCAAAAGCGTTATGGTGCCGACAAGTAGGAGACGTTGTAACAGCAAGGGGCAAGAGGTGGGACGAACACCCTTCATTGTTCTTCGAACATTGGATGCTGCTCCAGTGCTTATTTATTAGTACTGAGAGGAAAAATATCAAGAATCCTTGATCTTGGCGCCCAGGCTATCACAACCGATGAGTGTCTGTATCGCTCGCACAGAACTGTGCATGGGTCACTACACATCAAATGCGAACAGAGTCCCATCACCCCGACACTTCCATGCTCATTGGCGCGTTTTTTTGAGAGAACCTGGGAGCACATACTAAGTGCCATAGGATGCCCAGTGAAGCCCGCAAGGGTTGAAGTCATGTGTGGAGTGGGTAACAAGCTCTAAGTCTTTGCAAGTGTCACACATCAGAGGCAGCGATGTAATTGTAAACCTATAAACTGGTCTCCTGTAGAACTGCGTCCCCTTTCTCCCCAAGCCCGTCATCCCATCACACGCCCTTTCAAAAATTGAAATTATTATGCCTATCCTCTACCTCAAAATCCTCTAGGGCCTATTATGCCTCGTCAACAGAAAGTCAATATCGTCGACGTAGCAAACTAGGGCCTATTATGCCTCGTCAACAGAAAGTCAATATCGTCGACGTACACGTAGCAAATCCGGATTCCCTCTATAACACACCCCAACGACATGATCGTTGCCGCTATTGGCTCTGCTTTCCACGACCACTCTTTTTGGTAGCTGGATGGTTTTTTTGGAGGATGGATGGATGGTTTTGGATGGGTGTTTCTTTGGTTGGGAAGATGGGTGTTTGTTTTGGAGGATGGGTGATTCTTTTGGAGGATGGGTGATTCTTTTGGAGGATGGGTGTTTGATCATCTTTCACAGTCGTTTTTACTACATTTTTCTTGTGCCTAGCTTTGATGGGATGAAGAAAAAATTTGACATCACAGACGCGAGAAGAGATTACTCGAAAGAGGAAGAACAGCTCCACAAACAATCGACAGCGGTAGAGCTAGGGTAGCAGAAGAGGCAAAGAGCGACATCGAGTCAATAAATTTCAAGGCCTCGGTCAAATATATTTCGTCACCCAGTCAAAACTAGTACCTCGCCGATATCCCGAGCACGATGCAGTACAAGCTTGACACCAACGACACCCAAAAAATATGATTCGTAAATTTGTGTCCTGGGGTATCAGCCCTCGCAAGGTATCGTACACCAGCGTGGAGAAAGTATAAAGCTCCACTCTTCCACGCTAGGTTAGAGGTCGATCACATCCATCTTTCTTTTGATTGATTGCTTGGATCCAATCCATCTTGAAATAGTAATCCTGAAGGGCATCTTTTCCACTTGAAGAAAATGAAAACCCTCTCTCCTAGGCTATCAGGTTGCCTTTGACCTCCAGGTTGCCCTTTTTCCACTTGAAGAAAACCCCTAGTAGTTTCAGGATGTCTGCAAAATGCACCCAGGATGTCTCCTTATTAATAAGTACTTATGAGTATCAGGAGATCACGACATTAGACTTAAAAATAAGGCAAGCCTTAACTAGGACTTCGCACATGCTTCGAATCGACTCATCTTGGGTTTGATGATCTTCGTACCACCTGTCCCAAAACCGGTATTTCCGTGCTGCCTTAAACATCAAAGCTACGGAAGAAAGAAGCATGGCGCAAGCGATGCCGATGGAGAGGATTTGTTCTCGCAGATTAGAGAAAGCAAGTGAAAGTAGGATTGGGAATGATGTTTTTAAGTATTTTGGGTGTTGTGACTCTGGATCTAGTAGAAGAAAGCAAGCAAGTTTGAGTAGTCACGTAGTACGGGAATGATGTTTTTAAGTATTTATGTTGCTTGTGAAATCAATGCTAAGAGATTTGATGTTTCTGTTGATTACTTTAAAGCTCAGCATTTGCATTCCTTGGTCATCATGACTCTGAACGGAAGCGACCCCCTTCAAAGCTCTCCCGCCCTTTCCCCTCGTTTATTTCCCCTGTCCCCTCGGTTCTCTCAAGAAGGGGTCGCCTCTTCGATCTCAGTGACTCCAATCTAAATGGTGACCGTTGAAAGTTGACCCTTAATTATACTGTAAAGATCTGTGCATAAGAACCAGGTCTCGCCTCCTCTAATTCTGTTGATTACTGTAAAGATCTGTGCATAATAACCAGGTCTCGCCTCCTCTCGGTCAGCAATACTGCGTCTTCCTCATCCTGCTCGCTTCCCTGTCTGCCGTCCTTTGCGCCATACTTGCCCCACTTTGACTCCCGGAAAAAGCGCAAGAAGCAGCATATACTCGAGATGCAATGCGCCAATGCTTGTATTCCTATGCAATACAAGCTTACTCCGACATCTTTGTAGGCTGCAGAAAGGGCTGTTAGTGCGACTCCGAATGAAACAAAGATGTCCAGAAAAGAAGACACCACGAGCCTCGAACACCACAAGCGTTCCCTTTGGTTCAAAACGTCGAGTTTGCTGTACTCGGAAAAGGGAAGCGGAAGTTCTGAATTTTTTGGGTAACTTCAAGTCGGATTTTTTCTTAGGTAACCGTAGGGCTTAGGGTAACTTCAAGTCGGATTCTGGAGTGAGGAATTTAGTACTCCTCTATCAATCACGGTCTGCAGTAAGCAGCTAGCAATGATCAGCTATGTACAAAGCCAAATAAGTGGCTCAAAGTTTTGATCCTATAACTAGATGATTGTCAACTCTACTAAAAAGGTCGTGCAGAAGCAACTAAGCAACTACTACTTACGAAGTATTTTGTTGGAAGGGCTAAGTCTCTAGAGGTAAAACTAACCGGTTGTTTTAATTAGTGCTTTGAGCGCCGCTGGACCTAAACCTCGACCCTATATAAAGGGAAGAAGCCAATCTAGATTTGCAGCACACCTCAACATAAGGGGGAAATTTGTACACAAACAGCCTGTTAAGGGAGGAGGTTACTTGATTATAATTCCACTACTACTTACTAAGTAGTATACCTGACTGTAATGCTTCCGATATATCACTTGTCCCTGAATCTGCACGCTTGCGGAGGCCCGATTCGCTTCCCACTACCACCGGATCCGAGCCCGCGTGCTCGCGCAGCTCTACCTCCCTCACGTCAGTCATGGTTCTATCGTTTTCAGGCATAGATACGAGGTCACCAGATGGTCAGATGGATAGAGGCTTCCTCAATGTAAACTTAAATACTTAGAAGAGCTGACTGACTATGCTGATGAAGACAGAAACATGAGACTACAGGTCACAGACTCAGATAGTCTACATTCTCCAATTTTTCCATCCAAGTATTGAGGTGCTCTCATTCTTTCTCTAGGTCTCTTTTCTTCTCCACTCCTCTGCCACTCTCTCCAGGCCTCTCACCCTGCTCTCCTCCCACTCCTCCATGTTCATACTTTACTTTTTTTGCAGAAGGCGTTGAGGAATAGAAAACCTCTCAAGCAAAGTCGTGCTTCAAGCTCAAACACGCCAATGAAAACTGCACGACGTAGACTGCAATGAATAAGAGACCCGAAGAGGCTTTAGGCGTGATTTCGTTGTCATAAACCATAGAGCACTGCAATATTCTCAAAGCGTACCAGTACAATAAATTGCTTGATGTTCTTCATTCTTAGACATTCCAATTCGTTTCATATATCACTCCTCATCCAAACCATTTCCCAAGAGAAGAAGGTCGCCAGACATGATGTACAGCAGGCTCGTCATGAGCAGAAGGTCGCCATCGTTCTAGTTCGTCTTGATCGTAGTGGACAGAAGGAATTTTTTGATTTTGTCCAGTACTCGAGGAAGGTCGATACCATTCGAGTTCCTCCTTGTCATAAACATTATGACCACGCTGTAACCCGGATACAAGGTCCTGCTCTTTGCCATCGCCAATTTGCGGCGCAAACCCTGCTGGACTATTACTGTGATGCATTTTTATCAGAGGAGGCTTCTTTAGGTGGTGCGCTGTTTCCTCCCAAGGATCTTGCTCATCGGTAGGTGGGTCTTTCACTGTTCTATTTGATGGACCGGCTGTCTCCTTGAGCACCTTGGCATCCTTCAGGCTCAACCTAGCAGAGGCCAATCGTTTGGCCGCTGTACTGTCTAGCTTGATACCAGTTTTCCCTGCAGTGGAGGCCATCACCGCAGCACTTTTTTCAAGCACTGAAGACGGCCGCGAAAGGGTCTTGTCCACTTTAGCCGGAGTGCTCTTCCTTTTACTAGCCGTAGCCGCCGATGCGCTGTCTCTTTTATTGCTTTTCCTTTTACTAGTCAGCGACGCGCTGTCTCTTTTACTGCTTTCCCGCAGTTGTGCTAAGTTGTCCGCAAAAACGCTGCTTGTCCGTTTATTGCTGTCACGCTCCATCCGAAGGTCTAAATGTTCTAGCACACTGCTCTTCCTTTTACTAGTCAGCGACGCGCTGTCTCCTTTACTGCTTTCCCGCGGCTGTGCTAAGTTGTCCGCAAATACGCTGCTTGTCCGTTTATTGCTGTCACGCTCCATCCGAAGGTCTAAATGTTCTAGCACCCGACTACTTGGCAAAGACATACGACTTCCCACACCCGCCTTCTTAGTTGTACTTTTCTTAATTGCATTTCCAAGAAGGTGTGAGCGGCGCTCGAAAATTTTCCTGTCTAGATCCTGCAGTTGTAGTGTTTTTCTATCTTGTTGCGTGCTTCGTAGCGCGTCATCATGGTCCTCGTCATCCTCGTGCACGTTTAGTGTGACCCTGTCGAGGTCGCGGTCCGCAATCCTGTTTTCAAGTTCTCTCAAGGATGTAATCCCTTTTAAGGATTGTCGCCCTAGATGTCCTCCATCTGCTACGCCAAATTGTGCAACCAGGTGAAGGTTTGGTCCAGGAGCACCTTTATCATCTTTGGATTTCTAAAGTCCTGCTTTAATCGCGTCCTTCATAGCACTGCTTAATGGAACTTGCTCTTTTTTGGCTTTGGGGACCTTTAGCGCTTCTTCGTGTTCATGCAACTGCATGAAAGAGCGGTCATAGTATCTGCTGCCTAAAGGGAGCCACCCTCCATCTGCGCCTGTCAACATGCTGGAGGGCATGGACCGAGTCCGCGTAAATGCATGATGCGCCGCACTACTACTGTGTCCAGAGCCCAAAGATACGTTGGAATTTCGAAAATGCAAATCTTTGTGCATCTTGCATACTTGCTTTCCATCTAGATTCTTCCCCTTCATCTTGACATCATGTAGATCCATTTGCCGTTTTAAGTCGCTCTTTGAAGCTTCTTCTGCGTGGTCCACTTGTAGCCTCTTGTAAAACGAGACGAACGAGCAGAGCAGAATCAAATTAGAGCTTACTGTCCAAATCTATCCTGCGATTCATCTTGGAGCTCCCCTCCCCTTGTGGGGCAGGTCCAAGATGCTTCGGCGGAACAAGATGGATCATTTCGGTAAGCCATAATCAGAGCAATGACACAGCTGGAAAGGATCACGATTATGGCAGTCGTTCCTCCGTCTGAGGATGCAGCCGAGTCGGACGATGGGCCTCCACTTCCTGCTGTAGTTGTAGTGGTAGCAGATGAACCACTGTAATCAAAATTCAGAGTAGAGTACATATTAGAGCTCACGACCGTAATCCATCTTCTGGACCATCTTGGTGCCCGTTTTTGATTGAGAAACGGACCCGAGATCGATGCTAGCTAAGATGGATTCCATCTTGGAGCCTTAAATACAACGTCAGATGCAGCACTGGCAAGAATTGATACATCTTGTCCTGATGCGTCAAGTTGTGCCGAGATGGAGGCGTCTGGTGTAGTTATCACGACTCCAAGATTGTTTTTTAGAATGGCTGCCAGATCAGTGGTAATCTTATTCGTTTTCGCTGCAAACGCTGTGCAGCCAGTGGTCGCCGCGGCGGCAGTGGAGTTCGCCTCTGCTTGGGTTGTTACCGGAAGCGTGGTACTAAGGAAATAGACTGCCGCACTCCTAGATGAGGCACTTGTTAGGGCCCGAAAATTTTGAGGTCGTAGGGGCTCGAAAATTTTTGATTTCTCCTCAAGTTCTACTAGAGATGTTGATGTTGCACTAGTAGTTCCTGTCCCTGGTCTAACTGCGTTTTCTCCCGCGTCATTGCTAGGCAACAAAATAGAAGAACTTTGAGAAGTTGTGCTAATTTTTCCTCCTTGATCCCGTGGTGCACCGAAGGAAGCTCTCGAAGTTTTTTCGCCTGCAGCTCCTTGCCCGGTAGAAATTTGGGAAAACGAGGATCCCTTCTGAAAATTTCCAGCTCCAGACGCAGATGACAACATCTTTTCAAGAATAGAGCTAGAAGATGACTCCTCCTCACGTCGCAATGCCCTCCTCCTTCCAGTGGCAACCATTGTAATGTTCATATTGAGGCAATCGGCTGGTGTTGCATCCGCGCTGCAAAGGGGGGCATTATGGTAGTTCGCAGTTGCGGTCCAGGTCGTGCCTTCTTTCGTCATACAATCAGCAAATTTGTCTGCGGTCGTTGCGCCAGTGAAGATACTGCTCATGCTATCGCAGTATTCCTGAGCTACTAGTTTGGCGGTAGTAGTTTTGATATTTGCTAGTTGGTCTGACGATACGCTTGACAGCTCGTCTTGGTTGAGGGCCAGCCCCACTGCAGCGACAACCGCGACGGGCGGTAGGGTTGTGCTGGTAGTGCTTGTCGTGGTCGTTGTGGTCGTGGTCGTAGTCGTGACTGTCGTGGTAGTGGTCGTCGACGTCGTAACTGTGGTCGTCGTAGTCGTCGTAGTCGTCGTGGTTGTTGTCGTACTCGATGTCCCAGTGCACGCTATGTCGACAGCCACATCAAACTGCGTGCCAGTGCCAAACACGCAACGGAAAGCTTCACTCACCGGCATGTCCGCTGGAAGCGTACTGTTAAAATTTTTGAATCCGCAGTTTAAGGCCTGACTGTGAGCTAACTCCCCTGTTTTCCACCACCCATCTTCGGGTTAGAAGCCTCCCTGATCGGAGTTTTAACTCTTCTCCACGCTTGCCGGTTTGAAGGATAGTCCTTCCAGTAGTCCATATTTATGAAGGAGCCACATAGACCGGTCGTGTGCACCAACTGTGGGCTTTGCGCGCAAGGAGACTTTCCATTGATAAGGCCTGGTCACAGTCGAACGTGAAGGCCAAGTTTCTGGGTTGTACGTGCTATTCATATAGAATGACGGCAGCGTCGTCGCGTCGGGAGACTTGGTTAATTAGAACTCACCACAATCCATCTTTTGTTCCCCCATCTGTGCTGCCCCTTTGTGTAACAAGTACCTGAAAACAGCTCACAGATGGACTACTACTAAAAGATGGATTTACTAAAAAGGCCTTAGGTTAAACAGGCCTCGCCGCATTCGAAGCACTGCTCTGAAACACACGGGGTGACGCAAGTTTTCTGAGACAGGGTTTCCTTGCCCCGTGTACAAATCTCTCCAGGATTTCCAAAACTGTTCCAAAATCCATATGGACGGCCAGCGCCAGGGGCACTATCCTGTGCACCAAACCTCGGCTCCGCTTCTCCAGCCCACCAGTGCGATGCAAATATACTCTCTTTGCTCAAGTCTTGCGCACCCAAGGTCTCGAAACACTGACTCGCATCGGAGAACTGCGCATCCAGTTCCGCTTGCGTCATCTCGGCAAACTCTACTACTGTTTTTTTCGGAATTTTGCAGACCCTCAAGCGTGTGATCATCTCAGGTTTCTGCGTGCTCCCCTCTAGACCTTGGGTAAACCTAAAAGCGTCCTCTAAGAGGATTCTCGTTTGTGCCATAGTTTTGCCCAACGTACCTCTATAAGTGGGCAAAACCCCTAAGATGTCGCTTGTCAAGGGCGAAGAAGATGTACTAGGAGACCACCAGTTGGTCGAGTTCGAGCTGTTGAAGAGCCCTAATGCTAGAGCTTGTCCATACTGGTTCGTGGAGCTCTGGAGACCTTGATCGGCTTAGCCAGGACCGCTCTCGAAGAACTGGGAATGAACGATGCGCCGCCAAGCTCCTTCCCTTACACCGCAATCCGTACAATCCGTTCCGCGTGGGCAAAGAGCGACGCTGCCTTTTGTCTTTCTGGTAATCCCCTGTTGGCCCACTGGGGGTTCCTTCGGTCCATAGAAGGAAGCGTAAAAACTCTTTTTCACGTCAAAACTCGAACTCGAGCTACTGCTACCATCCCCTACGGCAGCTGCAACAGCTGCACTAGAGCTAATACCAGTTTCCGTTAACGACGAAAAACTGCCCATACCCGCTGTGCCATCCGGGCCCTGAGCTTCCCCATCCTCGCAAATACCGTTTAAAGCCGTTGTACACGAGTCTGAGCATCCCGGCAACTCCCCTCCGCAGGTCGACTGTGCTTGAGCCAATGGCCGGATCGGTTCCCCAAGGTCTCTTACGTAGCTTTGAGTGCAGTCGCCGTAAGTGAGCATCATCCCTGTCGCGTTTGGTACCGCAGCTGAGTCTTTGTCCATGTGGAAATTGTCTACACCTGGATTCTCAGGGTAATTCGCCAAGGCGCAGTCTCCTTTTGTCGTCTCTGCATGGTTGTACTTCGAATTTCGGCACGGCGCATCAGCTGGAAAATCTGAGGGCGAGCAATACGTGCTGGCGTCTCGACAGACACCAGCTATCTCATCGCAAAACTGCCCATAAACCCAACAGACTCTGTGTCCATGCTTAGGTCCGCAACGCCACGTCTTATCGTCACCCATCGTAGCTGTATTTAATGTTGCGTGTGCAGCGTCGTAACCAGCTTGGTACGCCAATCGCCAAGGACAATCCCTGTGCGCCTTTTTCCAAACAGTATGCATGCTTCTTTCGACTGGGTCCGCTATCAATGTGCATGCATCGGAGAGGTCTCCAATTGTTACAGTTCCGCCTTTTACGTCACTAGGAAGATGACGATACATGAAATACTGCGTCCCGTTTAGACCGACACCGTGACACGTACTCACCGCATCACAGGTCTCTTGCGCCAATGCTTCTGTCGACGGAAAGTGCGTAGCCCCATTGGCGTTTGCATGGGGGTGCGCAACCAAATTTGCCGCAGTGACGTCACACTTGTAGCCTTCGTATTTGATATAAAAAGGTTTGGTTTTACTCGAACAAACACCCATTTCTTGAAANCGCAACCAAATTTGCCGCAGTGACGTCACACTTGTAGCCTTCGTATTTGATATAAAAAGGTTTGGTTTTACTCGAACAAACACCCATTTCTTGAAAGTTATCGCCGTAGATCCTGGACATGGGTAGGACGTGCTGATAAAATTCCGAATCCGTTGTCGCGTTCGCTTTCCCTACTTGCGCTTGATAAAACATATTGGCTCGACTCAGAGCATAGCTCAGTACTAGCGTTGCCAACTTCGCTGTGTGTCCGCACGTTACGGTTCCATACGACACGCCTGGCAAGCTGCCGTGCACGGGCAACAAGTAGTAGGCGTCTGATCTATCTGTGATTAGAGTAAATCATAATCATGATAAAGGGCCGCAAGTCTTGTTCTAAGACTAAGATTTACTACGAGGGAGAAATCCTCCTTCAATTCTTCTCCATCCTTCTAAATCCTGGGCTTAGGGCTTAGGGTAAATACAGATCATCTTGGTACTCGCCTATTTCAAGGTTTCGAGTAGATGCAGGTTCTTGGGACCTAGATACAGGTTCTTGGGACCTAGATGCAGGTTCTTGGGACCGTTCTTGGGAGCTCGATTGAAGATGTTCACTCAGGGGATCCTTAGTAGGCCTTAATGTAACTCGAATCAGTCGTATTGTAGCGCATGTGCCATGCAAACCGCTACACCTCGCCGCATACATAAAGACCAAACTCCCCTGAGCAATGTTAAGGCACTGCTTGCAATTTTTTGCCACTTCACACGATGGAGAAACTACTGCGTAACTCCTTTGCTGAAGAATATTCCTTGTGCAATCTAAGTGATGCGAGTTAAAGTGTGTCTGGCAAACGTAATCTCGTCCATCTGCGGGAGGCCACGTCGCAGCTGCGACCCAAGAAGTAGGGGTACCTCCTCCATCTGCGGGAGTCGCAGCTGCGGCCAATCCCAATCTTCTTCCTCTAGAAGTAGAGGTACTAGGCCACGTCGCAGCTGCGGCCAATCTTCTTCCTCTAGAAGTAGAGGCACTTCTGGAAAAAGTCACACCTTGAGAACCAACTCCAGCAGCTTCAGCATCATCAGCATGCTGCCATTCTTCTTTGCCATCATCATTCCACTCTTCTTCGTTATCATCATTCCACCCCCCGTCACGATTCCCTTGCTCCCTGTCGATTGATGCTTAGAGCTCAAAAGAATTCATTTCTTGCCTACATTTCTCCCCATCCTAAGAAAGAAATAGGGAGAAATGACTTGTTGTAGACATGAAGCAATCTCATTGGCCTTAGAATTCAAGAAACTATTTTACTCAAGAGACAAATATATTATTGAGGGGAAATATATATTGCAAGTTGTAAACCCAAGTGGTATATGAGACAAATAGAATATATTGAGGAGCCTTAAGATGAATCTTCAGTAGCTGCCGCAGTCAGCTTCCTCCTTCTAGCCTCTTCCCCCTGTTCCTGGTCCTTATGTTCCTGGTCCTTCTGTTCGATATAAGCTGAGATTGAGCCATATTGCTCCTCGATCGTCTGCCAGGCTTTCGCTTCTTCTGCATCTACAAGGGCTTTAAAAGCAGCTCTTTTTTTAGCTTCAGCAGGGGTATCACCTTCGCGAGGGCCGAGGGGGTCTAACAAACTAGCAGGTATCTTCTCATCGTGGTGGCCCACAAAAACTTGATCCGGAGAAAATGCCTCTACAACCGAGGAGCAGCCTACAACGATGATCATACAGGCAGAACTACATGCTCGCAAATCTATATGCAGCTGTGCAAGAAATGCAGCTAGCACTAGTACCTGTTTAGAACTAAAACAGAAAAGCTCCATCAGTTTTTTTTTCAAAGTTTTCTGCTTCTAACCCAAGACATCCATTCGAAACCAATGGGCAACCATCTAACACAGAAGAACAACTGATCACGATGAAACAAGACTCTAGTCTAAGTACCAAGAAAATAAAGAGGGTCATCAACCACAAAGCGGGAAGCCTGAAGCACGACGGCCAGGCACTAAAGCTACGCAAACGGTTAAGCACGACGGCAACCGCTATGAACGACCTACGGCATTAAAGAAAAACCATGATGGACATTGAGCGAATCTTCTTTAAAAGAAAATTTGAATGTAAGGACCATCCAACAACAGCTGAGTTTTTGTTTGACATTATAATGTAGGGAACTAAAACCATCGTCGAGTGATGAACATGGGGCACAGAGAAAGAATATTAAATCTCTTTTTAAAAACGAGAAAAGAAAATCCTGAGAGTGAACATGAAACTAAGTAAAGTAAAAATTGTCCATTGCAGTTTCCACTATAAATGAAGATTTACAAGTAGCATACTTCACGTGAGTCTCTCTATGGGGACAGACGTTTCCAGGCCTCAAAACACGACAGATAGAACTCCTTGAGCATAGAGTATATTCGCATATGATTCCCTCTATTATTCTCATACTGACATCAGACTCAAGGGCGAACATCACACGTCAGATTGTTCTCAGGATTTGGACAGAGATCCTTTATCATACATCTGGTGATGAACACCAAATATCGGCTCAAATAGGACTGATGCCTTCGCTCCACTCCTTCTACAGAAGCTTCTTCTCTTTCCTCCTTTTCCGAGGCCCACTCGTTATACAGAAGCTTCTCTTTCCTCCTTTTCAGAGGCCCACTCGTTATACAGAAGCTTCTCCTTCCTCCTTTTCAGAGCCTATTTCCCCCATCACAGAGGCTATTCCCTCCACGTCACTTTTCAGACATCAGGGAGTAGACCGAATGGCACTGATTTTCATTATTGTCAGAATCCAATAGCTCTCTCATATTTGTTTCTCCCTTGGTCAACCTTCAACATGTGCAGACTCAAAAACCGAATCAAATTTTGGTTGCACACAAGAAAATAACGAGAAAAATGGGAAACGCGCAACGTGCTTCCAGTGTTGCCAACTATCTCCTCTGCCTGCGCAGCTTTTAGCCCAGAACCCTACTGGAGCCATTTCCCCCTTAACAGAGGCTATTTCCGCCATCACAGAGGCTATTTCTAGGGATGTTTATCATTTAGTGTGTGCTTGTGTGGAA